CCCTGGTACCATGTACCAGGTATTACAAGAGTGACTTGGTCACTCTTCATGTAACTTGGGTACACTTGGGGTATGTACCCCGTTACATATCTTCCCTATCCAAAAATGGATTCCGATTCCCCACTGGTAATCTATCCGTGACCGAAGCAATCGGCTTCGGGCTGCTGAAACGTACTGCTATTACTAGTACGTCACAGCCCCCTAAATAGTAGTACTAGTAGTGCAAAATATGTCATAAAAAGGGATCAAAATCAATGAGTAAATCTAGTTTTTAAAGGCTGACTGTTGTTCCCACAACAACATTTCTCTAGTGTAGCTGTTCAGTGCATCCGGTAGAATATTATGATCGCTCATCTGAACAAGGAGAAACTTACCAAAGCCAAACGCACAAACCCGTGTGTAGGACACTCCTGTTGAAAAGACGTGCAAGTTGATCACACTCAAATCTAATGAGCGCCAATCTCGTTCCCACTCTCCATCTGATGCTTGTGGCATACGCCGCGGTTCACTGTCATTCACTACTAACGTTTTAGTGGACAAGTTGCACGGCACCGTGTAAGTTATTAAGCCTTATGATCAACGTGGGTAAGCCAATCCAAAGAACGACCAACTTGTTTGTGCTTCGCCGGACTGCGTACAGCACTTACCAAGTGCTCCTTATTTCGCAATTTGCTATCAATCGGTCAAGCCTTTTCCTCCATCATGCCGCTCACCACCGCCCTCCTAGGTCTCGTCGCGCTCGTGTCGCCTTCGCTCGTGTCTGCAGCGACACCAGGCTATCACGCCTTGCCCTGGGACGGTAGCGCGTACAACCTCACCGTTGATACGCTTACGAACAAGTATTCGACTCCCATCTTCATCCAACGCAATGGTGGCAACAATGGCAATCCAGCTGACTACATCAGTATGCAGTATCAAGCTCGCCCAGAGGGCTACAACAGTGATGATGGCGCATTGGCGATTGGCGTAGATGACAAAGCCATTTTCAACGACAACACCGGTTCCCGTCGCTCGGATTTGTTTCAGCAGATCGAGGGCACGGCTGATGGCACCACTTTCTACCGTGCCAGTTTGATGAAGACAGAAGCTTTCCTAAACGCGTATGACTGGCAACTGGTCTTCCTGGGCTCTGGTGTCTTTACAATCGGTGTCGACGCGTCGGTGAAGCCGCCCCTGATGTACTACCGCACTAACGGCACGACTGACGCAAGGTGGTCGGCAGAATTCGTGACTGGCACATGGTACAACTTTGGTATTGGTGTGGAGAAGTCGGCTGATGGTGTTAACACGGTGTTGGAGTTCTACACGAGTACGGGTCAGGACGAGCTGGTGTTCAACGTCAAGACTGAATTGAAAGGATCGATCCTTACGAAAGATTCCTTCCACATTGGTCCAGTAACGACCCTGAGTGGTACTTCCTCCGCTATGAACGCGAAACAGGATGTTGTGTTGTTTAACGGAATGTCGGCCGAAGCAACCCCAATTGATGCCGGAGCCCCCACACCGGCCCCATCGGAGGGCGGCACTGTCATTGTTGCGGATAGCAGCAGTGGCTCGACCAGTACCGCTGGCGAGGCTCGATCGTTCACTTTCAACGACCGCAAGTAAGATGCTTTCTCGAGAGGGTAGTTGTAATTCACTTCACTCTATTATGGTTCACTCGACATATGAAGTTACATGCACCCAATAAAAATTACTTGAAGTACTAAATTGGCCTTTACGCCGAAAAAAAAATATTTTTAGCGACGTATTATTGTCAAGAAAGAATCAGTTCAAATATTAATTGACGATAATACTTGCTTTATTTTTTTTTTACGTAGCCTAGTATTAATAGTATCTAGGGAATTGAATTATGCCAGAATAATCGCGGCAGAATTACTAAATGGCACAATACTACTCAAAATTAATACTATCAAGTACATGTTTTGAACAACCAACTAATGCACACATAAGTAAACTGTGTGATGCTTCCTGCCAAGTAACAGGCAACTTGTGTTGGCAGATTGCACTGTGCCCTTTGTATATAAATTTTAGTAGTAGAAGTTTTAGACAGAATCTACTGGACTCTTTATTAATTCAACATAAATAGAAGTACAAATATCATATTCCACGAGAAAAAAAATATTGCAATACATTACTGCAATGATCTTTGTAAATTGCCCAGATTTCTTTGAGTAGCTTACTCTGTTGTAGTGTCCTCCTCAGCTTAAGCTGGTGGCTTTAGGTACGAATGTACTAGCGCTATCCTGGAGCGCACAATTAGCCAAGCATATGATGTACAGGGTCGGCCAACTCGCTTTATCATACAGTCTAATGTGGTGGTCTGGGTTTCAACCGAAACATAACACATACTTAGTAGGGTATACTGATGACCTCCATATGCTAAACAAGCTGTTTCATGCTTCGTTGAGTGGTTTGGGCTTACACAACTCCTCCACCTAATTATTGCTTTAAGTAGTCTTGGTTGACTTCAGGTTTCCAATATTGCATTCTAATGGCACAAGTGATGTATTGCACTGCAATACAAAATTGCAACGTCGCTCAATAATTCAATATATATTATTGCCCGAGGATAAACCATTCCAGTGCTCTTCAGTGGCAAACGGCAATACACCTTACTGCTAATATTTTTTTCCAATCACTGACAAGTTTAAATAAAAAATAAAAGCATGCATTGCGAAATAATAGAGAGGTTTTGTAGCGGGCTACAAACCCCAAGTGTACCCAAGTTACATGAAGAGTGACCAGTCACTCTTGTAATACCTGGTACATGGTACCAGGGGCTCTAGGAGCCAATCATTGCATA